AAATAATAAATTATTTTTTTAGATGGAGTCTCACGGAGTAGCTCTTGCTGGCCTGGTACTCACTATGGAGACCAGGCTGGCCTCTAACTCATGGAGGTCTGCCTCCCAAATGCTGAGATTAAAGGCATGTACACTACACTGGGTCCTGTATTTAAATTTTGACCCACACAGCCACATCATACACCCCTATCAAGGTGATGAAGAATGATTCACCGCCCAGAAACAGCTTGTCTTCTCCTGTCCCTGTGGTCCCTGTAGTCTCATTCTGGAACCTGGTACCTGGAGTCGTGGGGTGCGTTGTCTTTGTGTCTGATGTTTTGGGTTCCTGCTTCTGTCTCCACATCTCTTTCCTGACACTGTCTTCTGTCAGGTGGACTCTTGTTGGATGTCAATTACATGTATGTTTGTTGTGTGTGTGTGTGTGTGTGTGTGTGTGTGTGTGTGTGTTTAGGGGGCGAGGTATTTTGCCAGGTTGGGTCTTTCTTTAAATTTATTTTCATGCATGTGTACATGTGTACACACTCGTGTGTGTGTGTGTGTGTGTGTGTGTGTGTGTGTGTGTGTGTGTGTGTTGATACACTAGTGGAAGTCAGAAGACAGCTTGAGGGAGTTGATTCCGTGTTACCATGAGTCAGAGTGATTGAAATCAAGCCATTAGGCTTGATGGCAGGCCCTGTTTATAATTTTTTTGAGACTGGATCTCACTGTATAGTTCTGACTGGCCTAGAGCTCGGTGTATATATAGATCAGGCTAGCCTCAAACTCCAAGGACCCACTGCCTCTGCCTCCTGAGTACTCAGATTACAGGCAAGAGCCTTTACACTGAACCACAGAGTAAGTTTAAGTCTGGACCTCCTGGGCTTGTGTGATTTCTCTTGCCCCTTGTCTCTTGAGTAGCTGAGGTGCAGGTAGGTGACCACCATGGCTCTGGGGTGGTAATCAAAGGAAGCTGGGTACGGCATCAGAACCGAGAGGGTGTGTGGGATTGGGAACATGGAGTCTCATCAGTGCGTCTTCACCTGCCACTTCTGATTAAATGGCCTCTGGTCTAATGTGTACAGAACACATCTAAGTCTGGAGGGAGAAAGACGTTCTAATGATGGTGGTGTTTTCCCTGTTACACAGTGAGGTTCACGGCTTCAGGCACACGTTTTCTCTGGCTTTCTTAGTTTTGGTGGAACCCAGGGCCTCCCAAGTGCCAAGCCAGTGCTTTGGGAACTGCCCCAGCCTGGGCTCCTCCTTTCTACGATACAGCTTCAGCATCTAAGGTGGAGCCTTTTGCTTATATTGGGCTGGAGAGGCTGTGAGGAGCCAGCCCCAGGTGTCCTGGGGGTTCAGGGGATTGAACATAGCTGGATAAGTGCATGAGTCTCTCCTGTGGTGGACGTAGAAAGCAGGAGGGTTGATGGCAGGAATTTGCCGTAATTTGCCAGTGTGAGGATTTTGGGCATTTTCCAGTGGTGGAATTCAGTATATCTTGGTGAACAGATAGGTGAGGAGTGTTGGGAGGCCACAGGAGTAGGTGGGTAGGTAGTGGGGTGGGTGGGTAGATGGGGGAGTGGCCAGATGATGGTGGGTGGATAGGTAGATGTGCTAGATTGATGAGTGGGTGGGCAGGAAGAGGGGTTGAGTTGATGAGTGGGTGGGTGGAGGGCGATGAATCTCATTTTTGTTCAGATGTGTGAGCAGGAACAATCGTTTTCCTGAAAACTTTTCTGTTAGTACACCATGTGAAAGGTTTCAGAACCTCACATAATTTTATGGCTTACACAATGGAAATTAGACAGACAGACAGACAGACAGACAGACAGACACACACACACACACACACACACACACCCCAGCATCCTGAAGATGGCCAGATGAAAGAGGAAAGTCGTACCGTGCTGATCTAATGGTCTTGGCTCCATTTGCTCAGAAGCCTTGACATCTTCCGGTGAGCTGCTAGATTGTAGGACATGAGCACGGTAGTGGAATCCGGTACTTCTTCGTTTTAGAATGTAACCACCAAACCCCGCAAGCAACAACAAAAATAAGCAAAACGAAATGCAGTGAGTTTTGCTTGGTTGTTTCCTCTGAGTAGAACCTGAGCCATTGGTACCTCAGCTAAGGTTTCCTATTCTGCCCACAGCTCCAGCGTGTGGTGAACAGGTTGTGTGCCCTGTGGTGGACAGGCTGTGTGACCTGTGGTGGACAGGCTGTGTGGCCTGTGGTGGACAGGCTGTGTGGCCTGTGGTGGATAGGCTGTGTGCCTTGTGTGGCCTGTGGTGGATAGGCTGTGTGGCCTATGGTGGACAGGATATATGGCCTGTGGTGGACAGGCTATGTGGCCTATGGTGGACAGGCTGTGTGGCCTGTGGTAGACAGGCTGTGTGGCCTGTGGTGGACAGGTTGTGTGCCCTGTGTGGCCTGTGGTGGATAGGCTGTGTGCCTTGTGTGGCCTGTGGTGGACAGAATGTGTGCCCTGTGTGTCCTGTGGTGGACAGGCTGTGTGGCATGTGTGTCCTGTGGTGGACAGGCTGTGTGTCCTGTGGTGGACAGGCTGTGTGGCCTGTGTTGGACAGGCTGTGTGCCCTGTGTGTCCTGTGGTGGACAGGCTGTGTGGCCTGTGGTAGACAGGCTGCGTGGCCTGTGGTGGACAGGCTGTGTGCCCTGTGTGGCCTGTGGTGGACAGGTTGTGTGCCCTGTGTGCCCTGTGGTGGACAGGCTGTGTGCCCTGTGTGGCCTGTGGTGGACAGAATGTGTGCCCTGTGTGGCCTGTGGTGGACAGGCTGTGTGGATATCCACCCTGTTGGATACTCTGAGACACACAGGTCTTGATGGGTCAGTGAGGTTGATGGTGGTCAGCCCACTGTCTGGTAGAGTTCTAGGTATGTGCCATCCCTGAAGGGAGCCCATCTGTAGGTGTCCAGCTTCCCTGTAGCAGTTCAGCCTACTTTTAGGTCATAACCAATAAAGCCAGTTCTTCCCATCAGCCCTTGTTACAGCTGGGACAGCGTCTCATGTATGGAAGACTTGGTCCCCAGCTGGTGGTATTGCTGAGTGACTGGATCATGTGGGCTCTAGCCACACTGGTGAATTAATGATCATCAGCACACAGTCTGCTGTGTGGAGACTGAACCAAGAGCCTTGCACATGCGAGGTATGCGGTCTGCCTCCAAGCTGTATCCCAGCTTGCTGCCTTCCCTTGTCATTATGTTTCAGTGGGTTAAATGTGCTTGTGCGTGTTAGCAGTTACAGAAAGCTCTCCTGTCTGAGGTCCACACACCTGCCTGGCGAAGGACAGATCGATGCAATCAGTGATTGGCCTTGCCGTCTATACATCTTTCAGCCTGGCCAGTTGTTCATTAATCCTGATGGCTCCTAGGCGCCCTGGCATAATTGATTATTGCTTCTCCAGGAGAACAAAGAAGTGTCATCATCCAAGGACACAGGGATGCCAGCAGGGCTGGGGACAGAGACATTTCTGGAGGCCTGGCCTGCTGCCCCTCGCCCTCCCCAGAGCAGGGCTTTGAACTCCACAGTGACATCATCTAGGACAGAGACACTGGTGGCTGTGTCTGCTCCTGCAGTCCACAGACTTGACTGTGAACTTGCTGAGAGGAGGCATTGCCGATTCATTTATGCCCTGCATTGCGCACTCCAGAGCTTCCAGGGCTGTGAGTGGTACGGTCCTGGCATCCAGGACCCAGACCGGGGACAGGCAAGCAGGACAAGTCTGTCAGGGGGTGCAGCCTTGCTCCTCCCAGCTGCTCGGTGGATTACGTGCTGACGTGACTGGAAGTGATGTGGCTGGTCTTCAGATTCAGGGTGTCTTGGGCTGTCAAAAGAAACACCACAGACCCAAGAGACTTAATATATATAACCTCACGTGACAACACTGGAGGCTGGGTGTTTGAGTTGGGTGTTAGCATCCCCATCACAGGGTTGGGCCTCCTGGGGTCACCTTACGACTGTCCTTCATTGTATGTGAGCACTTCATTCCTACTGGCCTAGGCCCCAGCCTTATACAGGGTCTTATTTAATTTTAATTAGTACTGGACAACAAGGACTTCAATGTATAGATACTGTGGAGACCTATTTAGTCCTAACAATGGAGGGCAAGCTTTCCAGGTTCAGGAAGCAGCAGGCAAAGGTCCTGGGGAAGGACCAGGGCTGATAGCCCATGGGGCTGGGACAGTAGAGAGGGAATAGTTCTGGGTGGAAGCAGACTGTATAGGTTTTATAATTTGCTATGCAGTAGGGGCTTGAGATTCCCTCCAAGCTGGAACCTGTGGAGCTTAGGGACAGAGCAGGCCATGGGTGAGGACAAGACCAGTTAAGTGGTCCAAGCTGGGTGTGGTAGCACATGCTTGTAATCCCAGCACTCTGGAGGCAGGAGGGTCCAGAGTTCCATATGTGACTGGTTTACCTACATAGGGAAATACTGTCTCAAAGAAAACAAAATGGATATGCTCAGTGCAAGGGATGTGGCACCCTTTCCAAACAGTCACTGTGGTGGTTGGTTCTTGTCAACTCAGACGTATCTGGGCGGAGGGAATCTTAATTGAAATCTTAATCTTAAATGAAAACATCTTCATGTTTTTGTGAGCTTGGTCTGGAGGCAAGTCTGTAGGGTATTTTCTTGATTAATGATTGATGTGGGTGGTGCTACCCACGGGTAGGAGGTCCTGGATGGTATAAGAAAGCTGGCTGAGCAAGCCAGTAAGCCAGTGTTCCGTTATGGCTTTTGTTTCAGTTCTTGCCCCCAGGTTTCTGCTCCAACTTCCCTTCATGATAGACTGCAATCTGGGAGGTGAAATAAACCCTTTCTTTCTTAAAAGGTTATGGCGTTTATCATAGCAATAGAAACCTAACCAAGTCACATAGGCTTCCCTTTGTGTGTGTTGTTTATACTAGATCAATGTCTACAGGCCAGTAAGAACCCCGGCCTGCCTGCACATCCTGTAGCTTGAGCACCCAACAACATATAGCAAGGATGGTATGTAGCACATGAAAGTTTTGGTACTGGTTGTGCTTGAACCAGGCCTAGGTGAGCTCCAGACCCAGTCAGTGTTCCTTCCCGGTGAGCTTCCTAACGGTGGGTTCTACATAAAGGCCCTTGGGAAGGCAGGTCACATTCTGGCCTGTTACTTCTCACCAGTGTGGTTGGACAGGTCTTCCCGGAGGTGCTGCTGTTCAGATGGGCCCAAGACCCACAGGGATTAGCAGTCTAGGAGACAAGCAAGAAAGGAGGATTGTTCCTGACGGAGTGTGGCAGTGCATGACTGATTTTGAACAATGGCCGCTAAAAAATTAGCACAGTAGTCAGGCAGTGGGTGATGCACGCCTTTAATCCCGGCACTCGGGAGGCAGAGGCAGGTGGATCTCTGTGAGTTCAAGACTAGCCTGGTCTACAGAGTGAGTTCCAGAACAGGCTCCAAAGGTACACAGAGAAATTCTGTTTCAGAAAACCATCACCACCAGTAACAAAACTGGCATAGTGAACACTTAGAAGAGCCTGTCAGGCCAGCTTTCAGAGTGATGACAGGTTGGGTTGCCCAGGTAGCTGGGTTCCCTGTGTGAGGGAGTCTAACTCATTTTAGCTGCCGTGATCAGAAGAGTGGAGTGTGTATCAGCACCAACCCTGGTTTAGTCAGAGAACCCGTGCTGAGCCAGAACGCGAGCCAGATGCTGAAGTGATGAGGAAGGCGGGCAGGTCTAGCTCACCATGTCAGCTGTGGGGCAGCTCTCACACTCAGGCTCAAAGTTGACCCAGAGTGGCCAAGTCTTGGGCCATGATCTCAGGACTGCAGGAACAGCCATCCTTCTACCTTCTCTGGCCCTGGTCTCTCAATGGGTGGATGAACAGGAATGGCCCCCACAGGCTCGGATGTGAATGCCTGGTCACCAGGGAGAGGCACTACTTGAGATGGATCAGGAGGCGTGGCCTCCTTGGAGTAGGTGTGGCCTCGGAGGAAGTGTGTTGCTTGGGGTGGGCTTTGAGGTTTCAAAAGCCCAAGCCAGCCAGGCCCAGTGGATTTTTTTGTTTCTGTAGAACTCTCAGCTACTTCTCCAGCACCATGTCTGCTTGCATGCTGCCATGCTTCCTGCCACGATAATGGACTGAGTCTCTGCAGTTGTAAGCAAGCCCCAATTTAATGCTTTCTTTGGTAAGAGTTGGCATGGTCATGATGTTTCTACATAGCACAGGACACTAAGACAGTGGGGGTGCAGTCCTGGGGAATACTGGGCCAACCTCACCTGCAGATGTGAGACCAGAACTCAGGATGCTGTTTCTGTGGCCAGAACATCTGGTAGCTCCTGGCATGCCGTCTGATGAGGTGGTGCCTGAGGTGAGCAGGGTGTTTGCTACTGTCTCCCCGTGGCCAAAGTTGGGGACCCGTGTGGCTTTGTTCCCACATCCTGGCCTGATGCAGGGAAGATGTGCCTCAGCCCCTAGGGCCTGGTCATCAAGACTATGAACACCCAGCTTCTGCAGTGAACGCACGCCCGGCACCACCTCTTCCACATGCCATACTCCCGGTTCCATCCTTAAGAACTTGCAGAACACGAGACCAGGTGAGGTGGCTTAGGGTCAAGACTGCTTGCGGCTCTTGCAAAGGACTGGAGTTTGGTTCCCAGAACCTGTACCTGGGCTCACAACCATATGTAACTCTAGGGGCTCCAATGTCCTTTTTCTGGCTTCTGAGTGGAGTGAAGGTGTGCTCCCTGGAGGAAACTCAATGCCTGATACTGTGGCTGGCCAGGCTACAGGCCACTGCTCTTTGTTAAAGCAGATGTGACGAGCCTGTTCAACTGCCCTCTGAAACATCTGTGTTTACCTTAAAGATGACTGATGAGACCCAGACAGACAAGCTCCTGAGAGTCATAAACCAACATCTCCATAACACCTGCTGTAAGGCTCAAGGAATGCCATGAAGGGGGGCGTGGGAGAATGCATGCTGGGAGCGGGTGGAGTGCTGTGTAACCGTGTCCTCTGAAGTACCGCCTGCTGGAGGAACACAGACCCTGTGTAACTGTTCACAGGCCCCTCCTCAAGGTCACACAGTAGGAACAGCTGGGGAGAGGGGGCTGGCCAGCTGAGCTGCCTCCAAGTTCTGCAGGGGCTCCAGAGACACAGCTTTTGAGAGTCCCCACCAAGGTAGGTGTCCATTCCAGCACCTCTGGGTGTCCATGCTCCTGTGAGTGACCCCCCCCCCACTAATTCACTGCTTCTCTAAGTCGGTCTGGGGTGTCATTGGTGTCACCTGAGGTATTGCCCATGTCTCCCCAGGAAGCCACACAAGAGCTTTATCTCTTCATTTTATTACAACAGTGAACAGACATGTGGCGTTGCTTTGTGCCACAGACATTTGTTGATGGAGCTGGGGTGGAACCCAGGCCCTCAGCACACGAGGCACAAGCTGTTCTACCGAATCCCAAGGTTGTGTATCCTGCCTTAAACGAATTGGGAAAGCTGCGTACCCAAAGCTGTTGTCAGGTTCTTTACATTTCTCAAAGTGGAAAAGCACACAAGCATTAAGCACATATCCCGACTTCTAGGCACACAGGAATGCATGGATGCTATACCTGGCCTGAGATGCTTCCTGTCCCAGCTGTGTTCTGGGTGTGCTGATGGCTTTCAATCCATCCCCAGGCCATCCAGGGTGGCCTGTCAGGCCAGAGGTGAGCTGAATGATCCAAGTGATGCTCTGGTTTGGGATGTAGTGCAAAGAAGACAATGAACTGTAATCGTTTAGGCCTGCAGTGAGATGAGGCAATATTATACACCTGCTGGTTCTCTGTGAGTGTTCAAAGTGAGCAGGTCAACTTCCAGGAACAAACCAAAGGGACCCAGAGTGTCTTGCGTTTCACCAACAGGCAGTGCCGTGGCGACTGCACAGTGGGCAGGGCAGTGGTCCGAGAGCAGCCCCAGCTCAAGGCATGCTCCCACACACTGTCAGATGTGTTTACTGAGCTGCTCAGGTGTCTGCAGGGTACAGAGACCTGGTGGGAACTAGGCCAGCTTGAGGCACTGTGTGTTGAAGCTGTCCCCTTCTTTGCTGGCGACAGCTTCGAGCAGGCTCTGCTTCTTCTGCATGCTCCTGGAGGATTCCAGCTCATACATGGTGGTCAGGTTGAAGAGCACACTCTCGTGCAGGTAGTGCTTGGGGTCCTGCTGCACCATGGCCTCCAGCTGCCGCAGGGAGTCCTTGAGCTTGCCCAGGTAAAGCAGACACACGGCAGCATTGTTGTTGGCCTGCAGGAAAGGACACGTGCTCAGGGTGGCACTGCCTGCTCTTGGTGGTCCCCGGTCCCCACGTCTCACCAGCCCCTTTATGGACCTCTCTGGCTATGGGAGGCCAGGCCAGGCCAGAGCAGGAATCTGGTTTGTTGGTCTGCAAAAGGTAGAGGGACCTGTGGGGTCCCGAGTCTGCATGTCTTACCACTGCATTTGTGGGGTCCATCCTCAAGATCTCTGTGAAGAACTTGTGAGCTTCTGAAAAGTTATTCTGGCCCAGGTACAGAAAGGCTCTGCAATGCACACAACAGGTAAAGAAGTGAGCACAGGAAAGTCAAGGTTTCTCTCCAGCATGGCTCACATGCACCATGGGAATAAGGGCCACACATGCCAGAGTGAGTCCTGTGTTCTCAGTGGCTTTACTGCTGACTGAAACATCAGCAAGTTTCTGAACTGAAACGTCAGCCATGCAGGCTCCAGTCCAGACACTTCCTGCCTTATAAACTGAACCCCACTCCATGTTCACTTTCTGGGCCCGGTTAGAAGGGGGAGCAGGTCTGTCCTGATGACCACACACTCATGATCTTGTAATACATGACTCATGAAAGCTAATCTGAGACCAGTGCTGGCAGGAGCCCATTGGCGGGTGTAACACACTGATGTAAGTCTGTACTGAAAACAAGCGTGCTCTGAAGAGCAGGGATATCTTCAGACTGGTTCCCAGGAGTAAGGAACAGAGCTGCGATTCTAGAACGCCAACAGGCTATCTGGCCTGAGGCTCCTGGGTCTCAGTACTGAGGACAGGGACAGGTGGGAGAAAGACATACCCCAAACTGTGGGTCAGTGAGATGACCAGCTGTCACTCGAACCCTGAGGTCAGTCCCAGGAGCTCACGTGTCAGAGCCAACTCTCCACAGTGGTCCTCTGAGCTCAGCATGCATGTGTACGTGCACACACGCTTAGTAAATCACTGAAAGATATTTACCTGTTCATTAAAACCATGATTTTACCCTGCAGTCCATCCAACTTCGGTGCTACTTTCTCGACATCTTGAAAATATCTTTCAGCTGTTTTTATGTCTCCAATCTGCTTTGACAAAGTTATCTAGTCAGTTTAGCTGACAGGTTAAAAGAGGTATAAATGTAAAGTCACACTTGTTCCCCAGTGTTATGTCACAGCAGGAAAGTCCCCTGTGTGTTACCCAGTGAGCAGGAGACATTTAAGACACTCCAAAAGTCACACGGAATACCATCTTTTGACCACGCTGTACCTTATTATAACAAACACCCCGTTTGCCTTCTAATGACTGGAGAACCCCTGAGGGATTGAGCTGTATGAGTTCTTGATTCCAGTCAAGTCCAGTTTATGTATGAGGAGGCTTGTCTGGGCTCTCAGCCTGGTGGCTCTCCCCTTTGACAGCACCTTGTCACTGTTTGGGAACACGCTTGGGGTGACACCTGTCTTAGGTTGTATGTGGGGAGTCAGTGCTGTGGGGAGCAGGTCATCGGCTACCTATCTGCAGGCCTGTTTTTGGAAGCATAGTGAGGCCCAGGTCAGTCTCTCCAGAGTGACTCTAGAGTACCCTGGGTAGGGCAGCTTGGGGAGAGCGAGCCCGAGGTCCTACCCTGGCAGAGCCCTGCTCCACCCTGCAGGAGGGGTAACCAACAGTTAGTGACCACTGTGTCCACAGTGGCCCTAGGCCTGGGGTGTGTGAGTGGAAGGAGTCCTCTCCAGCTTGGGCTCATCTCACATGCTGAGCTGGGGATGAGGAGGCAGCCCTGGTTCAAACACTTCAACCTTCTAACTTGAATAAGTTATCTAACTTGAATAAGACATCTAATTTGCTATTTGTCCTTACAATCATTTCTAGCCACTCAATGGCTCAAAAAATAAACAAGAAAAGTTTTTGCATTTCCTGGGGAGGGGTTGACAACTGTTCAAGCTAGAGGCCATTCCTTTCTAAGCAGTTTCTTGAGGTCTGACTGCTGGCTAATGAGCTGCAAGTATACAACAGAGATACTGAATGTGACGTCCAGGACACATCCGGGTGTACAGCCATCATCCATTGGGCATCCTTGGGCCACTGTGCACCACTGTCCCCCACCTGCTCCTTCTCATGGCTGCAGCTCCAACTGTCCATCCCCACCTGCTACGCTGCTGCCGCCGTCCCTGACACGTTGAGGCCTCTCCTGCTCCTCTCTGGTGTGTTCTAGCATTCACTCCCTGGCCCCCTGCAGTCCTCCATGGTCTGACACCTTCCTGGCTCTTCAGTGAACTCTGATAGTCATGGGTCTTCTGCTTTGAAGTCACATGGTCACAAGTATCCTCTTGTCCTGCCCTGGATGGCAGCGCTGTGGCATCCATTGGCTACTGCACTTCCGTGGTGGTTCAAAAGCTACCTTGCTGGTATGAGTGATGACCTCCTAAGACCCATGTGAAAAGATCTGGAGGGCCAGAGTGTGAGCCAGAGACGTAACTTCAAAGGACAAATGCTACAGATGTCGAGAGACTGGATTACTCTGTTCTGCCTTTGGACTGTCTGAGAAGCTCCTGGATACAGGTGTGTCCAGCCTTCTGAGAACGGGCTTCCTCAATGTGGAATCCCTCTCATGTCCAATTCCCTCCTGCTAGCCACCACCCGCCTGCTTTCTGAGCAGAAGGCACACATGGTCTGCAGGATGCTGTGTGTGATGGAGACATCCACAGGCCTGAGAGCCTCAAATATGCAGACGCCACCTGGCCTTTCTGAGGGCTGGCGGGGATGTGGGCAGGAGGCACTCACGCCTGTGGGGACCGGCAAAGGCATTAAGAGTTCCCTCACATCTGGGAACTGAATCAAAAACAAGCCCTTTATTATGCTGCAGGCCTGAGCTGGGTCTCCAGCAGTTATATGAATGGCACAGTGTACAGAGGTGACCCCGTGCTCACAGCCAGACTTGCTCTATGCCCATCTCAGGAGGGATGAAGACTGCTTTTCAGACTAAAACACCCTGAGGAGTTACAACAGGTCTGTGACCAGGAGACCCGGGAGAGGCTAGGGGAGGGGCATGTACTTGTCAAAGTTCTCTTCCTCTGTGGTCCAGCAATTGTGGGGATAATAAAATAGTGGCTCGTCTATTCTTAAGTCACATTAATATTTTAGAAAAACCTTAAAAATAAATTTAAATGTGTGAAGTCAATGGAGAAGGTGCATGTCAATATCCAAATTCACCTGTGTGAGATTATCTAGGAGCCCACTGTCTATCACTTACTTCACCTTGGTTGGTGCAGTCCATCCCTGATGCTACCAAATTTCCCCCTCAGGCCTCTGCACATTTGTTTACAGTGAACTACTTCTATTCCCGCTCCTTAGCACTGTAATGCTAAGTGCCCTGCCTTGTTTGGATCCGTGTCTGATTTTCCATTTCTCTGTTGTGTTTTCCTAGACTCAGGAGCCAGGGATGGCCTCTGAGAACATGTGAGTACATCTACATTTGGTTTCACACCCTCAGACAGAAATGGCTGTAGAGAGGCTCATTCTGCTCACCCATCAGGGTGGGATGACCAGGTATCTTAAGCCTGGCCATGCTGTGCTGATGAGGACCCGAGTCTGCTGGGATGGCTGCAGAGGGAGGCTGGCCAGTGACTCCTGTGCACCGAGGGCAAGAGAATGGGCATGCAAGACGCAGATGCCAGCACCACACTGCGTGCAGGTCAAGCTCAACAGTGCCCAGGCATCCTGGCCTTGAAGGTCTAACCCTCCGGGCTCTGACACCTTGGCCCAGGGGAAACTTCAGCTCTCATTTGGAGCAACACATCCGGAGGACTGTGGCTCTCCTCTGTCTTGGATCCGGAGAAGGAGCACTGGCCTGCCGCAGCCTCCAAGGCTGAGCAGCCCAGCCCTGCTACACAGCAAACCTACTGCCCCCTTATGTTTTGTCCTCTCTATCTGCTGAGGACACCACCCCTCTTCTCTCCCAAGGACAGCACTGGCTGACACCTCTTTCACCCACAGGCTTTCAACACCAGAGAGCCATGGCCCTCCCCAGATTTGCAGACTGAATTCAAGATGGAGCAAGGGCTCCCTTTTCCATTATCCTCCCATGCACTCAACATTAATCAGCTCCAGCTCAGTAATGAAGTCATCCGGAAGCATTTACCCTTCTTTATGCTACATGGCTTTCGCTGTGGAGATGTGGTCTATGAGGGACACACATCCTTGGGCCTGCCCCCAAACTATCAAATTCCGCACTCTGCACCAGTACTTTCAGTGTTCTCTCCTGGGTCCTGGGTCTTCCAAGCAGGAGGGCCTTGCTAAGGAGCCAGGACAGAGGGTTTGGCACCTGGGAGTCCCAGACTCCTAGGGGGCAGGAAGAGGCGAAGATGCTGTTTAGATGTGGCTACCTGTGAGGTCGGGAGTGTAGCAGTGATCGACTCCTGTGACATGTGCCTGTGTAGCTGGCTCTCTCTCCTCTTGCCATTAGCTGTCCTGCCCCTCCCACCTTCAGAGGCTCTCAAGAGACAGACACACAGGGCCCATACGCTGGGCAGCCTGCAATGGGAGATCACGACCCTGGAACTGACAGGAAGACGTGCCAAACGTTAGAGAGCCTTGCTGAGGGTGGCTGAGCCTCTGCAGGGGTTACTGCAGCCTCTGTGTCAGGGTGCACTTGGGTGTGCCCTCAACAGAGCAGCTGCAGGTTGGCAGACATCCCTAAGTGCAACAGGTCAGAACATCCAAAAGAATTATTGCAAAGGACACCTGAGTGGCCACGTTAATTTGAACTGAAGTATTTCATGAATCCCTATTTGTGTAGTTCTGAGGGACAGAACGTCCAGGCAACTCAGCTGGATTGCAGCTGCCATATCCAGCTTTCAGGCTGTCGGAAGTGTGGCTGGTACCTGGAGGAGGATGCGGCCAATGCCACTCAGCAGCTGTGGCTCCTGCTCCGGGTAGTACTTGGTAACTGCACGGTAAGCGTCTACGGCGAGCACATAGTCCTGTGGCAAGAGACCAAAAGCATGCCGTGAGCCAGCCAGCCAGCCAGCCAGCCAGACAGACACACACAGAGCTGAGGAGGCAGCGGGCCAGTGCGGAACCCCTCCCTCCCTCTGATGGTGGTGGGGCGAGGACTGAGTTCTGTGTGACGCACATCTTCCTGTCATCACAGGGGCTCTGGACCTAGCTTAGGCCTAAAGGCGCTTTTTGCTCCCACCTAAGCAGAAGTCAGAAGTCCCCACACTGGGTCCCTAGCTCTTTTCTGGCAGAGCTGTTGTAAGGACTTGTGGTTCTGTACCGTCCCATCCTGCAAACATAGAAGCCATACTTTGAAAGTGTCTCAAACATTTTCTGCACTAGATACTGAGGTGAAATATCTGTATGGAAACAGCCTCCCAATCAACTCTGCTGTGACCGTGAGGGCACGTGGATGTCACTGCTTCCTAGAATGCATGTGTAGCTCCTGCAAGCTTGGTGTCTGCACTCTGCAGAGCCTTTGTCTTCACGTGCTCCAGCTCTGTGTGCTTTCCTAGTGGTGGCCACACGCCAACCCTGCCTGCAGCCCCTCCTCGAGGCAAAGTCTGCCTACCACCCACTTAGCGTCCACCTCCACTTTTGGTCTACAGCAATAAAAGGTGTGAGAGTTGTTCTCAGAGGTTCGGGTGCTGCTCATCACAAGGTTCCGAGGGCAGCTCTTCCTGCATCCTCTGTAGCCGAGCACCTGAGCAAGCTTTGTGGCGTGAGCTGTGCCGAACACTTATTACCTCTTGGTTACAGCTCATGGTCACCAGCCCAGGGCCATCACTGCTAATTTTCTCCTAACCATAAAATTCGGGAAGGTATTTCATTTCTGTATTCTAAACTTTGTTTCCTCCAGACTGGGACTACAGTTACTGAGTTTGCTAATTGGGAGGTTAAAAGACAGACGATGAGTAAAATTCCAGTTTGGCAGGAAAAAAAAAAAAAAGACGACTCTCCAGTCTGGTACCTTCAAGTGCAGCTCGTTAAAACTAATTTTATTCAAGGCCTGATGCTCACAAGGAGCCAGAGCCCACATGCCTTGATTTTCTCTCCCACCACATCACTGCTGCCCGAGGCCAGGCTGCCTTACTTCTCACGTGCCAGCAGGTGCATGTGAGTGTGCGCAGGTGCATCTGTGTCCGTGTATCATGTGTGTCCACAGAGCAGGCTGTGACAGCACCTCACTCTGGAAGCCAGGGTTATGGCTGAGAGAACACGCTGTCTTGTGTTGCTTGTGGACCTGCTTTCAGGCCATTGTCCTGGGGTCTGGCTGCTCCACAGAGGGGCAGGAGAGTCATGGCCCCTAAGCTCCATCCTGCTGACCCTTACATTTAGTTTCAGTGAGCAAAAGCAGGCTGTGCTGAGTGTCGCTGGCTCCACGTCACAGTGCTGCACCTGATCAATGCTGTCATGACTTGTGCTCCATTTTGCTCTTGATGCCTCTGATAGACAGCTGTGGACAGGGCCAGGGCAGGAGCATGGAAGGGCCGTATGCCTGGGTAACAAGCCCTGCTCGGAGCCTAGGTTGTATGACTGGCGCTTGGAGTCAGAGGATCATGATACTGAGGATGGCCCGCCAGGAAAGAAACATGCTTAAACACACCTGAATATACCTGTTATAATTTTTTTTTAAAACTGTCTAGCTCTGTACAGCCTATAGTGACGTAGACCAGGCTGATCTTGATCTCTCAGAGATCCCCCTGCCTCTGCCTCCCAAGTGTTGGGATTAAAAAGGTGTGCAACACCATGTCCAGCTTTGATGGAATTTTACTGCTCTCCTGGGAGGCAGGGTAGACACACAGGCTTGGGAAAGTAGCAGCAGAGAAGGGATCAGCGGGCAGGTGCCAGAGGCATCAGTGTCTGCAGATGTCAACAAGCCTCGGTGGTTAGGGCGTGCCTGTTAGAGGACGGTTAGAGCGGTGCTGGGTACTTTGTAGCTGGTTACAATTTAGTGAAATCACTCATTCCTGGAACCTGCCGGGCCTCTTTAAAGGAATGAGGCCAACAACAGCGTCTTGGAGTGTCCAATCTACTCTTCTAGCCACGCCCCTTGAAAAGAAATAACAGACACCCCCACGTGTGCAGGCAGAAGCCCGACCTGTTAGCAATGGCCCCGCGGAGTGACAGCTAAACCGTAATAACGGCCTTTTGACACCAGAGGCTTCATGGAGTGAGTGTGACCTGAGCAAGGAGGAGGCAGCCTGTGTGCCGCAGGCATGGGGACATGGAGCTAGGGAGTGTCCAAGGGAGGCACACCACCAGGCAGGTTCACTCCAGTCATGTTTACGAACAGAGGGCTTTGTCTTGCAAGCAAGCGTCCCGGACACTGTACTGTGGGGTACTCAGAACTGGAACACATAACCAAATTTCTTATCATCTAAAAGCTGACTAACTGAGTCATCGTTAGCGGGCACACAGGTCCCAGCCATGCTCCCAGCCACTGCGGCAATGCTGGTTGTGCCCACTAGATGGCAGAAGAACACATATACTTGCATCCTCTTGCAACATTTCTTTCACTCTAACTCATTAAAATAAAAGATTAAACCCAACTTATAACTTGAATTACACCCATTGTGGAAGTATTTCTAAAATATGATAATCTGTCCTGTACTGAGTCTGGAGTGATAGGGTGACACAGTCAGATGTCTGTGCCGACGTTGGCGGTGGTTATCACTGCTGCAGGAAAACAAAGAAAAGCATTTTTGTTACACCATTTCCAAACAGAGCATCTCAGAAATGCAAGCGGCCGAGCGCCCGACATCAAAGCAGGGACCTCCTTCCCTGAGGACCTGCAGCTCGTGGCTGGGCAGCACCAAAGCTGCATGCCTAACAACACTTGGTGACCAAGAGACTTTCAGGTTGGGATGGATGCTCACTGCGGCTTCTAAGGTTGCCCCTGGGCACGGCAGTGCTGAGGGAGAGGCCTGCGTAGGGTGCAGTGGGGCCGGAGGAATCAGCCCTTCCCTGGCTAAAGGCTGCAGCACATACATGGGGAGACCACGGGGCGGGCTCTGCAATGATGTCATGGGGGTGGGGGGTGGGGGGTAGACCAGGAACGGCGTGGCCCTACAGACAACAGGCCCTATGCAAATGTGTTAGACACACAACTTCTGAAAACTGTAATGTGTTAAAAAGTAGGAAAAAGCTGTGAGGCCCGGGGCTGGGAGAGATTTTAGGACACCCATTCTTCCTGTATCAAGGTCACTTACCAGAGAATGAGCCTGGCCTGTCTGTCTACACCCAAAGTCACAATCACACACCTGCAGAGGTGCAGAGGATGCACCTCTCCTATAGCTGGGCGGTGGCCACACACTTTTCCCCTGCCAAACCAAGGACATGGTCCCGGGGAGAAGCACGCTCCTCCACTTGGTAACATGCCCACTGGCGGACGCTCAGTCAGCGCAGGATGACCTTGGCCATGGGAGGAGTGATGAGCTGTCTCACCACAGCTTGGAAGGTGTTAACGGCGCTGCTCCGGGCATCTGCCGCTGACAGACTCTGTGGCAGCTTCAGTGCCTGCAGCTGGCAGCAAGGCCGCCAGCTCTGTGGCAGGCCACCCGTGCCCGGGGCGGGAGGCAAGCCAGGCATGGGATGTACTGGGAATGAGAGGGAAGCCTGAAAACATGGCTGCCCAGGCTGCCAGGGCCCGGCGGGAGGAGACACTTGACTGATGGTGCGGCCGGGCTCCCTGGTCCACACTGGCTCCTCGGGTGGAAAGCCTGGGGTGACCTCCTCACAAGGGGGTCTGGTGGGAAAGCCTGCCTTCAGACGTCAAAACCATCAATCATTAAAAAAAAAAAATGACCCTCACACTAAAACCAGGAGAACAAAGGACACTTTTCTGGATGTAGTTCAGAGGAAAACGGGTGGAATGAGCAGTTTTAATTAGACCATTTAGACCTAGGCCTGCTCAATTAAATTCAGTAACATAAACCGTTTTCTGTGGAATTTCAAAATGACAAGTTTGGCCCCCAAGTGTGAGTAAACTCTACTGAGCAATCTCGGCCACGCTGAACACTGCTGAGGCCCGCGGCCCACTTCCTCGTCAGGCCTGTCGGAATGCACAGCACTTTCTTGCGGCCTCCCGCTGACAGTATCTTCTAGAACAAGGTGCTCTATAGCTCAGCTGCCCACGTACCTTCATCAGGAGCAGGCAGTTTGCCATGGAATACAGCACACGGCCCAGACGCGACCTCCACAGCTGAACAGAGGCTGCAGGAGAGAGAGGTGTGAGCACACACAAGCAAGCATGTTTGTGCAAGCTGGCAAGCGCTGCGCCCTATGTACTGATTTCAAAGTCCCCAACCCCCAGCCTAACCCCACTAGGTCTCACCCAGAATCTTTATTCACTGTATGCTGCACTGGAGACAAAAGACCATGTTCTCAGTGGGATGACCAGAGTGGGCTCTCAGGAGACCACCTGCACAGATGCAGGACAGACAGGAGACAAAGCAGTAGTTGGGAGCCCACTTCCACGCCAGAACCCTACACCTACGAGTGTGCCTGATGCAGACACAGAACATCTGCTGCCCAGGGTGGCAGCTGATCCATGCACACCCCCCCTGCTCATGTCCGGTGGCTATGGAGAGGTCAGGCAGGCCTTGGTGGCTGTTTTAGTCCCTGTGGCCTGGAACTGACCACTCCCCAGGCCTTTAGTCTCAGAAGGGAACAATGCTGGTCTGCCTTCTTCACAGGCTTTGGTGAGGGTGGACACTGGTAGTGACCACAGAAGTGCTACCTGAAAGGAGAGAAGCACTCCCACTTGCAAACAGGACAAGGCCAGTACCCGTGGCTGTCCAGGCAGCAGACAAGTGAACCGCACATCTCTGCTCACTTCTGATATCAGCCATCTGCTGGTTCAGAACCTTCACTGACCATTTCTTCTTTGGTTTTGGCTCTGAACTCACTGGGGTTGGGATGATCCCTTCACAGACATCTGATGTGAGTGGAGGGTGGACTGATGATTTCTGAGGTTGTCAGGAGTAAGGGCTGAGTTGGAGACTATACTGCTTGCATCAGCCAACAAACCCATGCCTCTGGGTTTTAGTCTAGTTACCAACAGGATATACCCATGTGAATGCACACACACAAACATCCCAAGTCACACACACATACACCACTTATCAATCACCCACACAGCACACATACACACCTGGCCCTTCAAACCCAGGGAGTCATAAACTTCCTCAAAGGAACTGGCTCCTTGCTAGTGTACTCAGCACACTGTAGCCAGAAACACTGCTATGGTAGAAATGTGTACACAAAGTTCACATATTGGGGATATAATCCCTAAAGCCACATGTTGATGGTATTTGAAGTGGGGGCCTTTGGGAGGGAGGACACTGGGAGCTTAGATGAGGTCCTGAGGCGAGGGCTCACCATGGCATTGGTGGTTTTATAAAAGAGCCATGTGATACTCACTTCCTGTGACAATACAGGAGACCCCACCACATGCCAGCACCAACTCATGGATGTCCCAGACTCCAGAACTGTGAGTCTAATACAACTCTCTTCTTTATAAATTAACCAGATTTGGGTATTTCATTATAGCAAAAGGAAACAGATGAGACACGACCTTCTCAGAGGCATGCTCATGCAGTCCACAGGTGATTTCCAAAAAAACATGAAAGATGAGAATGTTCACCACTAACAGTGCATGCCACAGCTCCCTCCCCCTCCTCACTGGGCTCCCTCCGGACGTGCACATCTGTCTAGGCAAATGAAAAGTCCCGAGGGCACCAATGGCTGGGTCGGGTCAATCTCAGAACCAATTTACATTTCTCATCATTGGGGTTAACCCCTGTTCTTCCTCTCATCTACCCAGGGTACAACTACCGCACAGCGGCAGGGGAGATGGGTGAAGAGTGAGAAGCATCTGTAGGGTTGAGCCTTGCACCCCTGAGAACGCGAACACAAGGGGAATGCTCACCTTGCCTGCTCTCCTGGGTGACGCTGCTCAGGCCGCCATCTTCAGCTAAGCCTTGCTCCAAGTTGGCCAGGATCTGCAGTCATTTCAAACGAGGTCAACAAACTGTGAGTGGATTTGTCCACGCTGTCATCGTATGTTCTAGACACAGCCACTTTCTCTGGTGAAAACCAGTCAGCTGAGGAACGCTCACATAGACGTGTCCTCTGTGCTGGGATGACTGCCAGTTAGTTACTTGGAGCTGGTGACAAGAGCAGGACCCCCCCCCCCTTTGGTGGAAGGTGGAGTTTAGGCTTATGAGACTCAAAGCCACTTTCAGACACTGAACACAGTGGGCGTTCAGTTTTTCTTTTCATGAAAAGCATCAGATGTGTTACAAGGGCGATTAACTTGTGTGGGAACAGCAGCTCCCTTCCTCCGGGGCACCCCTGGGCCTGTAGCTCGATCCCATCAAACGCTCATGTTGCCACTTTGCATAGTTTTTGTTGTTTTTCGAGGCAGGGTTTCTCTGTGTAGTCCTGGCTGTACTGGATCTCACTCTGTAGACCAGGCTGACCTCGAAATCACAGAGACCCGCCTGCCTTTGCCTCCTGAGTGCTGGGATTAAAGGCATGCGGCGCCGCCGCCGCCGCCGCCGCCGCCGCCGCCGCCGCCACCACCACCACCACCTGGCACACAGTTTTTATTGTTTGGTTAAAACCTTTCCATCATTTCTTCTGTTTTTGGGTTTTCCCAGAAAGAAAAGCCAGTATGGCCCCTGTGGCTTGGGGAGAGGGTTTATTATTGTTATTACTTTATTTATTTATTTATTATTATATCCTGAAAGGGCAGGATGAGAATGTGTGTTAAGAGTAAAGACTATGTGTGGGAGAAAAATGGGGAGAATGTTAGTGGAAAAGGTTCTCATGCACTGTCTGCTCTGTGGAAAAACCTCTCTCTCACCCTGCTAGGTGACATCACCCCAGTGGCTACCCTCCAGGAGGCGGCGGGCAGTGGAGGACACCACTGAGTGTCCTCTCTCCCCACGGACCTGTGCCACCCTGAGTGTTCTCCTTTGTAAAGTCAGAATTTGTACAACTAGAGAATAATTAGCTGTGGACTGTGACTTGAGATACACGTAGGATTCAAGACTGACCTTTGAGAAATTCAGGGGACAGGCATGGGGTTCAAGACTGTGACCTTGGAGAGAAGCAAGCCAGTTCAAACTAGATCAAATGACATTTCCCCCGCTAATTTGCTAATCATGAAGCCAGAAACTGACAGGGAATAAAGTCTTAAATCCCCTCAGGCTGGAGTGGAGGGAGCCTGGGAAGAAAGGGAGGGATAAGGGACAGCAGAGGGCACCAGCACTCAGGATTCAGTCTGAGAGCTCAGTGAATTAGGACAAAGGCTGGCATTTACATCTAGAAAAACCCATACACAGAAGGAAAGCGGACAGTTCTGTGGGTATGAGGGGTGTGGAGAGGTCTGTGTGCACAATTCCATGTTCTAGATCCCGTCTCAGATCTCTGTACTGGGCATTCAGGCCTGGGGGAAGGCTGTATCCCTGGATAGCTCACTTGGAAACATGGGGTGGGTGGAAACTGTCATTTCAGAGCAGCCGCAGCAGAGAGAACTGGGGACCAGGAGGGGCTTCCCACTGCAGTGTGTGGGGCAGCACACGGAAGCTATCAGCAGTGCGGGGGACCAGGAGGGGCTTCCCACTGCAGTGTGGGGGGCGGCACACGGAAGCTATCAGCAGTGCGGGTAGCAAAGGCAGAGCCAACAAGGACTCTGCCTGCTCTGACTCTCCTGGCCTTGTGACAGTCTGGGGAATCGTCTTTTCCAACACGCGCTGTGGCCCCAGTAGGCTCGCTGGTTAGTGCTCATGTCCCAAGCTGGTGGCCCTACTGTGAGGTTCTAGAAAGCTCAGGACGCAGGGCTTGGCTGGTGGAAGTGGGCACTGGGGAAAGGTCCTTGGGACCATCTGGTCCCCGGCCATTTATCTGTTACAAAGGGAACAGCTTGTGCCACACAATCTTCCTGTGATGCTTTGCTGAGGCACACGGGCCAAGTGACTAGTCTGGACTCTCTAAAACCATGAATCAAAACATTTTCCCTTAAGAGGTTCATGATGGGTGGTGGGCCACAGTACTTTTAGGAAAGGTAACCAGCACAGCATGCATGCATCTGCACCCAGCGGGAGGGACTGGAGCAGGCTGCAGCCTCTCTCTGCTCCTGTGAGGTGGGTGAGGGGTACTGTGAAAAGCTCCAGGGTCTGCAGTGTCCCAGGCCACTAAGGGGCTTGGATATCTGTGGGAAGGACAGCCATCTAAGGTTCTGACTTCAGACACGAGAAGGGTATGTTCAGTGCAGGTTTCTGACCCTCGGTGGCCATACCTGCACCATTTAGGAGACGTGGATATTGCAGGGAAAGGCTGAACTTGTGACTACGGTGTGGCTGCCACCCCCCACCCCCCCAACAGGCCTCTCTCACCTTGGACGTAAGAACCAGAGAACAAGTATCAATCAGACCCCTCCCACCCAGCAGGCACAATGCTATCGACTTGACCCAGGACTCCGAGAGGACGGCTGGCATTTCTATTGTATTTGATTGGATAAACCTGAAGGTGAAAGAGTCTCTTCCAGCTTTACCAAACTTAAATAAGGCGTACACTGTAGCCAGTGCCCACCTCGTCTGGGGGACAACAGGATCCACGGTTGTGCAGGCCCATTAGCCCCTTCACCCCGAAGCCTCGTCTTCCTCTGTCCTGGCCCTCCCACACCAGAACCACCCATGACTGGTGAGGACACTCTGGACGACACGGCCCAGTGGAAGCCGTGGGTGAGGTTCCGTCAAAGGTGCTGGCGAGGAACGCCACAGGAACCGGCTGTCTTCTAATCCAGGGCATGGCTCTCCAGGGATAGAAGCTACGGCCCCAGGTTAGGACAGCTTACTTTGTAATTAAAAAAAAGGGAGGGGGGCTTTATTCCCCCCTCTCAAAACAGGTCTCACAACATGGCCCGGGCTCGTTTTGAACTCATGGGTTCAAGTGTTCCTCCTTCCTTAGCCCCCAAGTAGTTAAGGCTTTGTTGCGTACCATACGCGGCTCAACTCTGTTCTGAGACAACACTTCATAAAGAGTTAATGGCTTATAAGACTCTGAGAGGGCAGAGTAGTCCCCAGCTGAGGCCCTGCTGGCACGTGGTCAGAACCCGGGGGACAGACCCAGGTGGTGCTCATAGGGGGTCCCTTGGGTGCCAAGTCCAGGGGATGGGGCAGTACAGCCCCGGGAGGGGTGGGTGGCCATGTGGGCAGGTCTGGGCTCCACCGTCCTTCAGAGATACAGCCTTGGGCCTGCAATCTGCCATTGTAGAGACAAGGAGCCTGAGGCTCAGGGGCCAGTGACAGACACCCGAGTACTCCCTGTTGACGGGAACCAAGAAAGCGGAGGACAGAGCTCCAGCCTGAGGACGGTGCCAAGACAGCCTAGCGCAGCTGGAGGACTAGGCTCAGAAAAGAGGTGTCACAGCCCTCTGTCTGCGGCTCAGTCCCCCGTTGGGGGCCGGCAAGAGAAAGCAGCCAGCAGGCCCAAGGGACAGCAGGCTGAGGTAACGCAGGCTGTCTCTACTGAGATCTCTGAGATTTTTGGATGGGTCACCTTGGGGACAGGAACATCATGTGGCTTTGAGAAGTGTAAGCGGTTAATCATCTGTAGGGACAGGTGAGGGAAAGACATTGGTGGACTGTGGATCTCAAAGTCCCCGTGAAAGATGAGGAGGGTCTGGGGCAGAGGAGACAGAGGGACAAGGCACAGCACAGGGCAGGGAGAGCACACGGGACCACTTACCATGTGAGGCAAAATGACAGCACGGGACAGTGACCTCACAGGACCAGGTACCACACGGCAGAGTGACCTGAGATTTAGTGATCATGTAAGACCACACACTGCACAGGGCAGAATGGCCATCAAGGACAGAGTGACCAGACAGGACGAGGTAACAAGGAGAATGTGGGTGTGTCCACGTGGGCGAATGGGGTGTCTGTGTGGAAAGGGTCGCACACGCCACTCTCAGCTCAGGAAGCTGTCTGTAAACCACAGGGAGTCACGCTCTACAGATGAACACTGTCGGTTCAGAACACAGACAGCTCCTCTTCCACCAGCCCTGCACGCCCTGTCAGAGCGAGGCACATCACAGCGGTGACTTTGGGCACAGGAGGACGCTGCTTCAAGGTTCAGGATGACTTAAGCTGATCATCTCTAATTCCTATTTCCTTATCTGGAAGCCCCAACACACTCTTCTCGCCTGCATTACAGACTACAGGGCACCATGGAGAGAATGTTACTTGTAGTGTTTTGTAAACTTTAAAAGTGCCAAGGGAAAATTAATTACACAAAGTTACAAGAAGAAATTAAAAAAAAAACTGCTCCACTGCCTCAGATTTTTCCTGTGGTCTTTTTTTTGCCTCTGTCCCTGCAACAAACAGGAAAGGTTTGGAGATGTGTGATCTGGGAGCAATGAGGTTAACGCTTGCTGACTGCTAAATAGAAAGTGGGTCTCTGGAACTTCTGGGAGCTTTCTCAGCAAGCTGTGCGAGATGCCGTGGAGGAAGGCGAGAGCTGTGGACTACACTGAGGCCCGTGGGGAGTGATTTCTCCAGACACCCGACCCCAGGCTTCTCCTGGAGTCATGAGCTCACACCAGGAACTGTCAGGGAGAAGAAGTGGAGGGCAGGGTTCCCCCTTAGCATGCCAGGGACCTATTCATCCTTAAGAACAGCAGATCCCAGACAACTTGCCAAGGTATAATACTTAAAACACAGAACACTTTCTCACTTCAGTGCACAGAATTCAAGGGCTGCACTTTGTGACTCTTAACAACCAGAAACAGGTGGAGGTGACGCTGGGACCTCCAAGACAGGTCATGCTCTGGGCTTCTTCCTTTCTGGCAGGGAGTCAGGTGCCAAATGAGGACATGCAAGCAAGGTGCGTGTGTGTGTGTGTGTGTGTGTGTGTGTGTGTGTGTGTGTGTGTGTGTATGGTGTGTGTATGGTGTGTGCGGGTGTGGTGTGTGCGGGTGTGGTGTGTGTGTGCA